AGTAAGAAGGTTTAAAGTAGATTATGTACAGTGACTCCCGTTGCACATTTAAATATTCGGATACCAAATATTAAAACTATTATAATTTTGAAGTAGAAAGGAATTGTACGATAATAAACTCGGGTTCATTTTCTTCTACTTTCGAAACATTTTATTTATTTTATTCCAAAGTTATTCTTATATCACGTAACGGGGTAAGTAAGTGAAAGACGCTCTTCACACACTCTGATAATATATTAGTTAATATATTATTTTCCAGAAAAAGAGGTATCTCCACTTTTCTATCTGCTAAATAATATAGAAATTCTAAGACAAAATGAACGATGTATTTTGAAAGCACTATCGTATGATTTCTTTTTACAAAATTAAAACAATTTTAATATTCAATGAATATTGATAGGATTCACTGGTACTTACGGCTATAGACGAAGTGCGGAAATTTTAAAAGTCTCTCTCTATGGCAAACATCCGAATACTTTCGTATTCGCTTGTACGTAAATAAAAGATTCACGAGTGTTTCGATTCATCTGATAATCGTCGATAACGAAATTCTTCTTCGATCTTCTATCCCTGTTCATGATCCTCCGTTTATGATCGTTCCTTGTCGTAAACTTGGTAATTGATTTACAACCGGCACGGGTTTCCACGGGTCCGCGATGATGGAATTAACACGAAGCGTACGACAAAGGGAGGACGACGTGTCTGTATCACTGTTGATAATGGAAAAGTAGCGCGATATCTAACGATATCGTGGAAAGTGGAGTGGAAACGAACAGAACGAACGGAGGGGACTGTTTCCTTCTCGACAAAAGGGTGATTATTGCGGGTATATGGGGTTGTAAAATCGGTTTTTACGAGCTTGCACTTGGAGCATCAGGCTTTTAATGATACGCTTCGTTGTTATGCCGACCGAATGGTATGTTTAGTGAAAACGTCAATTTCGGCCAACGGCTTTATGTACACGAAAGGACATTGTACACCGCGCCGCGTTGCCATTTTGAATCCCCTGTGAAGCTGCGCGTGTCGGCCATCTGACACTTACAACTGTTCGTTCTCACAGCTTTCCTTCTTCTT